GGTCCAAACGTAGATTTGCAGGTTTTTTGGCATAGTTTTCATGACCTTTTTCTTGAGTTGAGATAGTAGTAACGCACCACATAGCTCAAGCTTAGGCAAAGTCAACTTGTTTTTCAACGGTGCTAATTTTGTTTTAGCTGTCACAAGTGTCGATGTGAACTCGCCCTTAGGACTCTTTGTGACAACGTAAATAGCGCAGGCATACGCCTTTTCGGACGCGTCACAAAAGCCATGTATTATGTAATGGTTTTTATCGCCCATATATCTAGGGATCTTGAACTGATCTATGTTCTGATAATCACACTTCAACTTTTTCCACTCGTGGGTTATGTTCTCAGTTAAGCGCGTATCCCAATCTGCAGCTTCTTCAGACCATGTACGTTGGAACAGAAGCTTTGCTCGGACGGATAGTGGACACAGAAAGCCCATTGGATCATAGACCTTTGAGATGTTGGATAGTAACTGTCGTTTTGTTATGTCGTCATCACTGGTCTCGTCTTCGAATATGTTCTTGAATACAAAGATGTCTGACGAGGGAATCCAGCGTAAGCCCAAGGTCTTTCTGTTTTCTAGGCCTTTGAAGTCGAGTGGTGTGTCCAGTTGATCAGCTGACAGGTCTTCAATCAGTTCCTTTGCATTACTGGACCACTTTCGGATGTTCATGCCGGCGCCCTTCAATATGTCGATTATTTCTCTTTGTAGCTGTTTTGCCTGAGAGAGGTCATCATGACCTTCAAGAAGGTCATCCATGTACAGTGACGTCATCAATGCAGCAGCAGCCATGGGGAACTTGTGCACGTCGTCCATAGCCAGTTGTCGCAAGGTACGGAGCCGCCTTAGTACCATACGTAACTGTTGTGAGCTGATACTCCTTCAGGTGCTCTTGAGTTGCGCTTCTCCAAATAATGCGTTGTAAATGCTGATCAGGTTCACGAATCATTATTTGGATGGAAACATCCTTTCGATGTCGGCAGTTACGACGTATTTGTGTTGTTATGTTGTACGCCATGCTAAGATGAGATGCTGCAAATCTTTTTGTAAGTTTGGACCACGCTCCATTAAATCATTGAGACTGAATCCACTCGATGTTTTTGATGACCCGTCGAAAACTTTTCGAAGTTTTGTCGTAGTGGAGTCAGTTTTCAGTACAATCGTAATGTGGAAAATAATGTACTAATGCACTGTGTTGTGGATCCGGAGACATATGACCTTGTTGCTCGTATTCTCGCATAAAATGTTATTAACATATGAGTAAAGAAACCGACCAGAGGGGAAGCTACATACAAACGGCTCGCTGCGACTATACCCATACATAGCGCAGCGATGTGTGCGTGATCTCCCACCGACATGTTTACCGATGCTACGTCGGGGTACAAACCGGTTTGCGCCGGATCAGAGTATAAATTGAAAGGGCTTTTAGTCGTGCGCATTTAATTAAATGAAAGAACAATATTTCGTTATTTTATAAATCATTTTTTTTACTATTGGAGCTAAGTTTAGATACTATTTATTATAAAATAAGACATTATAGGTTTATATAAGTAATTAATTAGTATTCTGTATTTAACACTTATACAGTATATGTAAAAATTGTGTGTATAAAAAAGTGGTGAAGATGGTGTTAGTGGTATTGGTGCTTGTGTTGGCGGTAGTGGTGCTGGTGTTGGTGGTGATGCTTGTAGTATTGTTGGTGGTAGTGGGTATTGGACCACCAGCCACCACCAACACCTTCGCCACTAAAACTGTCACCACGACCAGCATCACCACCACAGTCATTACCACCATCACTATCACCGTCAACACCATAACTACCTATTTCCTTAAAATTCCCCAAATCACGGGGAAATAAAGTTGGTTGGGGATTTATATTTGATATCAATCTTCACGTAGGATTGGTATTATGTGGGGATTTTGAAAATAGATTGCCCGGGCCAAGTCAGAACCTTTTTTTAGGAAATCTAAATACTTATCTTAACAGTTTTGTTAGATTACTTATGAATATCGAATGCCCCTCTTTTTTTATTTATCTTCTTACACATTTAATTTTCGGATTTATTTTAGCACCTTTTGTGTGTCATTTAATGCTTTTCACTTCTTTATTTTATTAATTTAACAGCAGAGTAAATGGATCTACTGTGGTCCTTGATAATGCCAACTAGGGAAGGAATTAAAAATACTCCATTTAGTAAAATGCTTCTTACAAAAATATGAAAAGTGAAGATAAATTTTTCGGTAAAAAAGAAAAAAATATTGGTTAAAAATAAATCTTATAAAATGAGTTAAATATTGTTTCATTACTTAAAATAAAATTGGGGGAAATTTGACATGTATTTTCGCGAAATTTACTTACTCAAATTTGCAGACGAAATATGAATTTATTAATCACAAAGAAAAATTTCCGACCGCTCAACACCCAACTGACTCTCGTCTGATATCAGCAGCCTTTCAGCGAATGTTGGAAAATCAGCCCATTGCTCCGGTAGCGGCAGGAGGTGGAAGTCAAGTGACTTCACTCTGAGGAGCGCATTTTAGATGTCGTTCGCCGGAATCCGAACTTAGGTACACGAAGTATATTAAGTTAGTGCGTGTCAGCCGATACGTCCCCTTTTTAGTTGAAGGCAGTAAAACTAATTTGGGTCACCACGCCACCATAAACAGGTTACAGAGGCAATATAACCAGCTCTACAAGACATGCGACGTTGATATTTTTGCTGATAAGCCTCAAAAATTCAAACGAATAATTATGCAGTCCTTTACTTTTAACTAACATTTAGACCTAGTTTTAAGTTTATAGTTGTAAGTTTTAAAAAACATATTCGTTGTCCACATTGCATGCCGTGGCAACCTTTAATTAAGATGACACTTAGATATAAACCTTCCTGTAATTTGTAGTATTTACATTGTGTTCGTGTACTTCTTGTTGGTTGTCCTAATAAATAAAAAAAAAGTATCGCTAAATTGTTAAGGCATCGGGATGGAACAAGTGTGTCTTACTGTATAGTTCACAAAGTGTTAAAGCGTTATTCGATGAAAAAATATATTTTTTACAACGTTTAATTAGCTTTATTCACGCTCTATCATGTTAGCACAAATAAATGAAACTAATTTCCAAAAAAAAAAAATCACGTCATGTCAACCATCAATCATCAAATACCTAAACATAAAACCAGCAGTGAAGGTTAAATACCTGAAATCAGCTGATAAAGAGTCAATAAACATGCTGCCCACGATCGTACTAGTACCTAATAAATTACAACACTTGTCTAAATACCTAACTTATCTACTTAACCTAGGGTTGCCAACCGTCCTATTTGCCCAGGATATGTCCTAGTTTTTGTAGTGTCCTGGGATGTCCTGGATAGTTTTTAAGCAGCGTCTTGGGTTTTTAAAGTGCCCTGATAAGGTCATATATTTTAAAATTCGTGCGCCACTTTTACGTTTTCCTACGTTACGGGCGGCTTCACTATCTATAACAGAGATATGAAGTGTGAACAATGTTATGACTTTTAGTTAACTCAACCACAAATCTTAAAGGAAATTGATGGGATTGAAAAGTATAGTAAAAATAAACTAACCTTAGTTTAAAGAATTTGTTACAAAATAAAGTGTTTGTTTTATATTTTATTAACTCGTTTTCAACTCGTATGGTTTTATTCTAATACTTTATTAAAATATGAATTTCATTTAATCTATTTTCACTACACATTAATTTAACTATTGCAACTCTATTAAGCCCGAGTTAAATAGACAGCGAACCGATAGCGTCACGAAGCGTTTTTATTTCATTATATGTGGTATCGTTTGAATCTAGTCACATATAAAAAGCGAAAACGAACCGATACTTGCATACCTACATAGTACATGCATTCGTTACGTTTTCGGTTTAGTTCGGTTCGCAGTTATGTTTGACAAAGCCTTTACTGCGTCCTGTTTTTAAACTGAATAGTCCTGGTTTTTCCAACTTCAAAACCTAGTTTTATAAATTTGGGGTGCGAACCCTAACTTAACCTACTGTTTTGCCATTGTGTCACTCCATCTAGCCAATTTAATTCGAATTCACAGGTTAAATAAATCAAATACCTTGTTCGATTCCCCAATTATAATTTTTATAGGTTATGTAGTAAAATGCCATGTATATATACACGGGCTATGTTTGAAACGAACACGAAGACAGACGGTAATTTTAAGGATACATTTGATGATGAGACAAAAAGAAAATCGATCCCGATGAAAAAAAAACCTTTTTTAAACGTTTAATTAGCTTTATTCACAATATGTTAGCACAGCTAAATATCTCGTAGGCTGGGTGGTCTGTGATTTTATATATACATAGATCATGATGGCACGTTTTCACTTATTCTTTCGAAGTCGAAGAAATAAGTCGCTGGTCTGGATAATTACGTGTCGGTGGTCTGGTACGAATATGGAATGGCATTTATCCAAGTTACCAGTAAAAATTACATTTGATAAAATTAATTTTATATTATTATATAAATAACTTCTATTTCATTTCACTTCATCCACGCTGTATTAAACTCACTAGTAATAGGTTCTCTTATATCATTACCACATAAGAAAATTAACATTGTATTGTGAGACAGGCAATCAATAATGCCAAGGATGTTTTTGACATTTTTGAAAACATCAAACTATTTACTATTTTACTTATTATTCACTATCCGTTTTTTTTTAAATTTTTAAAAATTTTCGTGAACTTAGTGTCTGTACACAAAAATGTCTTATGACACAGATGCTTAGACCATGTTCTGTTAGATTACTTACACATTAATTAAAAAAAAATCATCAATAAAACTGGCAATTATTATTAGCAATTAACTGAAATTTTTTGTGTTTATCAGTAGTCTGACTTCGCCTAACATAACCATGGCCTTAATGGTTCTAAATGGTCTAAACTATCTTCCTCTTACAGCCTTGCACCCATATTCGAATCACTCTGTATATCATTACATTATTTAACATAACAACCGTTAACATTTCAGGGTGAACGGCAAACGATACTTCACATGTCCTCCCAATCACGGTGGGTTTGTGAAACCCGTCTACGTGACAGTGGGAGACTTCCCGGAAGAAAAGTTGGATGCGGAGGACGAAATTTAATCTTATTTTTTATGAATTCGCTTGTATTGTCTGAGAGTACCTAGGGCACCTACCTCAATCTTGTACTATTATTAACATTTAGGATAGTTTACACGCTTTGCCTTTAGTTTGCAGATAACTGTGGGTCAATTGATGGTATTAATATTAACAAAATGTAAATGTAAAAAAATTAAATTATTATAGTCATATATTTTGTTTGAAAGAATATAGATCACAGTAATGATAAAAGACTGATTGAGTGTGATTTTATTTTTAGTTACTTATGATATTTAAAGACTGCTTTTTTTACGTATATTGAAACTTGCTGGTAGGGTATTTTATGAAGGTTTTTATTTGTTTAAAGATAATTAAGAGAATATAAGATGCCACATTAAATACATTGGTTTTTGAATATATGAATAATGCAAATTTTATACAATTAAAACTGTATTCTAATTTACATGAGAATTAAGTGTCTAAGTAAGTAAGACATAATACGTAATCTTTTACTATAATTTCTATGATATTACAATCGTGCTTTGCATTTATTGTTTACGTTTTTTTTACTATTAAAAAACCCACAGTATTTTTACTATTAATTTAGAACACAATTTTATCACTAATTCAAAAAATGAAAGAGAAATAATTTCTTTAATTATTAAAGTTTTCATTAAAACTTAAATGAGTGAGAATGACACTTATGTAACATTCCATACTCTCAAAATATTTCTAGTTTTGTTTAACCTTATGCTCATTGTCGTGGTAAAATATTATTATTAATGCATATTGTAGTATTTTAGTCTATATATGAAAACTAATAAACGCATTATAAGAATGATGCTTACCTTTCATTTTATACCTTCACGTGCTATTCTATTTTTGATGAATGTTTTGTTTGGTCACTCTTCCGGACTAAGATGAAGTGCCCGGTTACCTGTAAAAATATGTATTGCGGCTGAATTTGTAAATAATAAATTCGCTCGTCTGATACCTCGATCCTTTTTAAGAAGATGCCGTATTAATTGAAAACTTGGTAAATTTGTACTTTCGCGGCCTCCTCGTTTTTTGGCTCAAGAAAATCGAAAAATCATCCGATTTTTTTTAAAAAACTTCGTTTTTATGGCGGATTTTTGAAAAAAAAATATGGAAAATATCTAACCTGAAGATTTCATAGTTTTATGACTTTAAATGTGATCATAAACGCACTTCTTCGAATATAATCGTTCATAACTTTTTTGCAAAGCATTAAACGAAGTTTATTATATATATATTTGTTAATCTACACAAAAAAACTAACATTTAAAAAGCACATTTATTTTTTGAAAAAAAAAAAATCACTATTTACTAATTTTTTAGCGAAGGGAGCTCGGGAATTGGTGCATCCCGACTCGGTTAGGAGGAGATGGCAGGGCGAGTGAGCGAGCGAAGCGAGTGAATAGATCCCGCCATCTCCTTCGTTTTTTTTTATAAACCACTCAGAAGTAGGAGCCAGCGTGGAACAGGCTTTCCTCGACTGCGCTACGTTGAGTGGCGTGGTGCTTCCCTCCCCCAACTCTCTCACCCCATAAATCAGGTTTATAATCAAAAACATTACGAAAACACAACCTCAAAATGAGATTTTAAAAAATTCTTAAAAAAAACTAAGCACGTCCAGCAGGGGGTGGAAGTGGGGGGTGACTCTACAACTTCCACGCCTTCCTCTACACCATCGCCCACCCCCTAGTTCATTTTGAGTTATCATTTTTAGGTTAGATCTATGGGATTTTCTTCTTGATTTTTCTCAAGAACGGTGCGAATTTGCATTACAATAGTAGGGTCGTGGGTTCGAGTCCTATATATGAATGACTTATGTAAGTAGGGTCTATGATACAAAAACAAAACTATAGAAGGTCTCTATGATGAATTTGCATTACAATAGTAGAATCGTAGGCTGAAGTCCTACATATTAATGACTTATGAAAGTAAGGTCTATGATACAAAAGCATTATAGAAGGTCTCCTTGATGCATAAGCATTATATGGGGTGGTCGGGTGACCGACTGACCGACATTACCTTTTAATAGGAGTGGTGTCGGGGGAAAGGGGACGCTCACCCTATCCTCTCGGTTGAAATTTATATGAGAGAAAAGGTTAATATTAAGAGAAATTATTTTAAATTGTAAAAACATGAAAAATCAACATTTTTGTATAATTTTTTTTAATTTGTTTGTTTTTTTTTGTGTAGATTATGAAAAAATATAACAAATTCATTCGATTATTTGTAAAAAAGTTATCAACAATAAGACGTGAATGGGTGCATTTTCATGAACATTTAAAGCCCTGAAACCAAAATAAGTTTTCATTTTTTTTTAATTCCTGTAATTTTTTTCCTAAATCCGCTGTAAAAATGAAGATTTAAAAAAATATTCATCGAAATCGGATGATTTTTCGATTTTCTAGAGCTAAAAAACCAGGGGACCGCGATAGTATAAAATTACCAAAAACACATTGCGTCAACATTAATATGGTTCACGGTGATTTTGGAGTACATATTTAAAAATTTCTTTATTTATTTTTATTTTAACAAATGCAAGTGTTATACCATTTTGGAATCCTTATAAATGCGGCAACTTTTTAAAATTACTTGCAAAAACCGAGTAGTACATTTTTATTTCAGTACAGTCATTTAAAAATGGGAACCTATTAATTTTGAATACTTTGTTAAAAAATTACATTTCCATATGGACCCGAGTAGCTGGCTGTAAATTTTAAGCAAGTTTTCAGAAGCATTATTCAGGATTACATAATAGAAAGAAATTTAATAAAAGTTAAAATTTGTTGCAAAAGGAGTTAAAAGACCGTCAAAGGGCGTAAGGCCGGTTTTAGAGCTCGACCACCCGTCAGTGCGTACCATCGGTCCTGACAATACGCATAACCGATTGTCAGTTTGTAGCGTTCAGAGCTTTCCTGACCAACGAAACTGGCCGGACTGTTACAGTCACAAACACGTAGGTACACGGAATGGACGCATTAAATGTTTAATTGCTGCTTACTACGAGTATGTTCGTAAACGTCTAAGGAACAGAAGACGTAGATATCAAAAAGAAAAAAAAAAAAATATTTTAATTAAAGGAACCAAATCATTAAAAAACAAGGGGAAAAAAAAAAGCACCCCCGGGATTTTAAAAAACGCTTTGGCAAAAAAAAAAAAAACACAAATCAAAAAAGGTTCACTCAATCGTCGCCCAAAGAGCACTTCAAGGAGAATTTATTACTTTATATTCATTATTGCGCTAAGATGAAGAAATATTTTTTAATTACTTTAGAATGTCAATCAAAAGTTTTGATGAATTGTCAGTGAAATTACAAGACAACTTAAAACATCCGCGAGGTGTTCGGTGTCGACATATGCCATGTTTGATAAAAATTACTTAAATTACTAACACTACTTAATACCTATAAAATCATACAATATTATTAAAGTTTAGGTTTGATTTTCTTGACGATGATACACGCATCCGTACGGTCGGTGTAGCACTGAACGCATCAAAATGTTTCCATAGCGCGTCGGTCGACCGACGGTACGCATGCGGACGCGCTCGACCGACTGTTCTTGTACGCAGTGCGTAGCTATATACGCGTGCGTACGGTCGGTCGAGCACTGTAACGACTTGTGAATTTTCATACAAAAGGCAAACGCGACCGACGTACGCACCGACGGTCGGTCGAGCTCTGAAACGGGCCTAAAGGAGACAGGCGAAAGTTCATAGAAAGCTGGGCCAGAGGTTACAGTAAAGATTACTGCATTATTTTATTTATATACCAATACCATTTACGTCGTTGACTTATAGATTACTAGCGTAATGACCGGGCCGACCGAACAACCAAAACGGACCAGTGCGCTGGCCCTAAAATTACAGTTTAGGGCCAACGCGACTCGGTCGACAGTGGTGCGCGCGCAAGACAATATTGCCTGTCATAAATATGTCTAGATGCGTGGTAAAAGGGTGCAAATATTACGATACAAAGATTAAATAGAAACATGGGATATCGTATCGGTAAATTAAATATTTACCAAAAATACACAAGCCCAATGCTCCATTACGTCCCATAGTGAGCCAAATCGATTCACCAACTTACAGATTGGCTCAACACTTAGCGAAAATACTCTCACCACTCAGGGGACATACAAGAGCACACATAAAGGATTCCTACCATTTTGTCAGCGAGATTAAAAACCTACATCTGGCAGACAATGAAACTATGGTCAGTTTTGATGTGCAGTCATTGTTTACATGCTTACCTGTTGAAGACTGCATCTCAATTGTAACTAGAAGGCTGGAAGAAAACAACATGCCCGTAGAATATGCGGTATTACTCAGACACTGCCTTACATCTGGCTACCTATTGTGGAAGGAGGAGTTCTACAAGCAAGTAGATGGTGTGGCGATGGGCTCACCTGTATCTCCCATTGTCGCCGATATATTCATGGAAGACTGAGGAGAAAGCCCTGCTTAGTTCTCCTATAAATCCAAGGTTCTACAAGCGGTACGTAGACGACACTTTCACAATTCTACCTTTAGATAAAGTAACTGCATTTTTAGACCATCTTAACTCTATAAATTCTAAAATTCAGTTCACAATGAAGTTAGAGGCAAACAATTCCTTAGCTTTTCTAGATGTGTTAGTAATTCGGAATCCTGATAACACCTTGAGCCATACTGTGTATAGAAAAAAGACCCATACAGATAGATATTTAAACGGTGATTCTCACCACCATCCTTCACAGTTAGCTACCGTGGGTAAATCTTTGTTTCAGAGAGCACGAGGGATCTGTGACAGTAAACACCTGGCTGCAGAGCTGCACCATGTCAAGCACGTTTTGCATGACAACAAGCTTCGAGTCCCGCGCCTACGTCACAGTGAACGAGTGAAGCCGGCCACAGTCGAGCGTGTACCTGCTGTACTGCCATATGTTAGAGGAGTCACTGACAAGATTGGCTACATCTTGAAGCGCGCTTCCATCAAAACATACTTCAAGCC